CCCCCCCCCCCCCCCCGAGGCCTTTACATATTTGATGTATTCATGGACTTGGGTCTGAGCCTGGATGCCCAGGTTTTGGAGTGCATTTCCAAAGTTAGAACTAGTGTGCCAGTTGTGCCTGTTCCTCTAAAAGTCAAATCTAGCTATAATAACTTCCACCTTAATTAGATCTCATTTGGACTCCTGGAACACTATATGTTGTTGAGCAGCCTTTTGAAGCTGATCAGAGTGCTGATCTTGACCTTTAAAACCTTAAGCGGCTTGGGTGCAGACTCTCTGAAATACTTCATTGCCTTATGCAAGCCAGTGCGACCGTTGGGATCTGCAGGAGAGGGCTTTCAATCCCATCACCTTCTCAAACACGTTTGATGCGGACTCTGGGGGTAGCCTTCTCTTGGGCTGCTCTCAGGAATTCCCTTCTATAGGGTGTCTGTTTGGTCCTCTCCCTGCTCTCTTTCCATTGGCAGGTGAAGACATTTTTATTCAGACAGGCCTTTAAATTTTAATTATGGAACTGTATGGAACCGTAGTTTGTGCATAAAGCTATATTTTTAAATCTTTTACAGGAAAATATTTTTTAAAATATGTTTTAGTGTGTTTGCTTGAAATCATGCTTTATGATATGTGTGTATGCTTGTCTGTTTATACCACAAAGGCTGTTGCTAGGTGAAGTGGCCCTCTGTTATGTCACTGAGAAAAACAGGTGACATGTGTATGAGGGAGCCTGCCCACCGTTGCCAGATTGACATGGAGACATTGTGAAGTAGGCCTTCTTACAGAGGGAGGAGGGAGAAGGGAGAAAGTCGGTGGGCAGTGGTCCCAACAACACCCAGGCAACAATGGTTTTATATAGACTAGTAGCTAAATAAATTAGACTTGCACAACTTGTGGCCCTCCAGGTGTTTTGAACTTCAGCTCCCAGAATTCCTGACTGTTGGACAAACTGGCTACAGCTTCTGGGAGTTGGAGGCCCAAACACCTGGAGGGCCACAGGTTGTGCAGGCCTCAAGCAAACAAACAACCGCTGTTGTTTATATTTTCTTTTCTTACAAGTTGCTTAGGGTAATGTGCATACTTTCCTTATTTTATCCACACAACAAAACTCTCAGGCAGGTTAGATAGTGTGTGTGATTGACCCAACAGTAATTAATGCAGTTCAATGTTGAATGAGGATCTGACCTAAAAGGACCCTGATTCTATTGTGACGTGCTACCCGATAGACCGTAGCCTTTGGCTTTGATAACCATTTGGCATTGTAGCAAGTAACCCATGGAAGAAGATTCACTGTCCTGCTAGCTGTACTCTGGACTGTTGCAGAGTTAAGAGTAATAGGATGTTGTCTGTTGTGGAGTGATGGTGAGCTTCCCTCTTCTAAGAAATGAACTTCTAGTAGAATTTTTACAAAGTAAACTGGCACATAACATTCCTGGAATATCTGATACTATTTGACTAATCACTAGATCGGCATGTTAATTGTTGTGGAAGAAATCACATTACAATATCATACAATTATCTCCATATATCAAATGGAATACATTTCAAACTTTGAAGGAAAGGGGTTGGTTGAAATCTTATGCCAGTAAGTGCTATAATATTAAATTATTTGAATGAATCACAGACAGACAGATACACACGCACACACACACACACATATATATATTCAGAAGGCTCCATGTTGAAGGAAAAGAAGATGCCAGATGTACTGAAATAGCCAGATGATTAAGATCTGAATGAGTATTAAGGTCACAATCTGAATTAAATACTCAACAGATTAATGCTCACAATAATTCAACTGTATGCCAGATGGTGTACACAGTAATTTTACTGCTGGCCCAGAAATGTTGTGTTGGCTTGGTGATGCAAACTTAGTTGTTATAGCTGCCCATAGTGACCTAGAAGCTTTGAAAAGGCAAAATCCAGAATATTTGAATATCTGTTCAGAGAATTATTCTTGTATCAAAGGCATCTAAACTTGGACCACTGTGCGCAGTTCAGGCGATAAGGCAAGCCAAAGGACTAAATGAACTCTGGCTTGTATTGGGAATACAGATGACTCCTGTGACAGCAAGGGACATGTTGCTGGACTTACTGTAGAAATGTGAAACTGCAGATGATAGCAAACCTTATTGGGATGAACAATGTCCAGCACAAGCATGCCATAGAATCACGCAGCAGGATCTGAAATATCTAAAGAGAACACCCTTTCATGGAATTTCTAGGGTCCTCCATAGTGACTCCATTGACTTCCAGCAGAAGCATACAATGGAATTGTACATGAGGGCCATATTTTTTTCAGATATGGATGAGACCGTGGGCCCTGGTCCTGCGGATGGAGACTGGGGCCATACTGTAGTCAGTTTATTGTGTTATCTAAATATGGGATTGCCTTTGGTTCTCTTCCAGCAAAACAAACAAACAAACCTTAAATCAACGCTGGATTCTTTTGCTTTATTTATTGGGATTGAACCGAACTCTGCATAATCGTGCTTAGACAGGATAATAGACCGTATAAGGAAGCCCTGTGATTTTTTTAATTGCTCCTGGTATGCACAGGAGCATTTGAGCCTCATGCACAAGCATATTGCTTTGAACAGATGAGCCAGGGTATCTGTAGGTTGCTGGATCATCACGCCATCTGAATAGGCCCAGGAAGTTACTTTTCAGAAGGTGCAGTAAGTAGTTGGATATATGGATGATCATCAGTATTTCAAGAATTACTACTAGGAGGTCTCCTTATTTGCCCCTCTCCAAGAACATACTTCAGTTCTAAATGTGCCATCTGATAATGAACCATACGGATAGTTAGCAAGTGTAGTGATTTTCTGTAAGAGTCTCGGATAGAATATTTTTCTGGTCCCTTAAATGATTAGCACCAGATTTAGCTTTTTTTATTGAAGTGTATCATGTGAGGTATCATGTGCTGTGTAAATACCCCAGATATTTTTCTAATAAGTGTATTTGAATTGAAATATTTGGTGAGAGAGGAAATCCATAAATATGCATGATCCTGTTCATTCACACATTGGTGCCATTGTACTTGCCCCCGGTTATATGGATATAAAGTGAAAGGCTTGATATGGTTTAAATGTTACATTTCAAGATATGGCAGTTATGTAGCATACACCTATTTATATTATTCACATCAAAAATCAACAAAAAAGAGACTCAAAATTGATGGAAACAGCATCAGTTAACAGTTGCTCCATGTCTGAGTTAAGGGCAAGACAGATGGACCTTATTCTTCCATTACTGTTGGCTCTCCATATCATTGGATCCAACCATCCACCTCCCTGACCCAAATTCAAAAGCAGATCTTGATTTTACCATTGTATATACGAGAAATTGTTTTACTGTGCTATTAGGACTTTAGCATCCATGGATTTTGGTATCCAGGGGTCCTAGAACCAAACGTTAGGAAGTAGGACTGTAGCTTCTATGACATAATAGATTATGTCATATTCAGCAATGATATAACTGTATTTAAACTAGGAAACATTTGGCTTATAATTATTGGTTGTATGGGTTAAATGATGCTCTTTTTGAAAACTTGGTATATGTGGCTAAGTTAATATACACTGGAAAGCAATTAGGTTTTAAAAGATTATGTCCATGCTATGCACTGCAAGGTAAAGGAGAAGAAAAAAAAGGGACTTGGGGTGGTTTGAACATGGCACAAGGTGTCTCAAAATCGAACGTAAATGAAACACAATTTAAAATATAATAAAACATATAGGCATATAAAACAACTAAAACTCAGTTAAAACAGTGCTCATCACAAGTAAACAAGTGATCATTTCTGATTCTCAGTTGTCTCACCTGTACATTCACACAACCCCTCCCCCCGAAAAACACTATCGTGCTGCTCACAAATAGTTTTGGATGACCAAAAGTGAGATTTGTCTATGCAGAAGGACTCCAAGTTTTATTCTGATAGTAAAAGAAAAACTTAGGGTTACAGTGTTGCGTGTCAAAGTATATTTCTGGTTTATGTATCTTAGGGTTCTTGTGAAATAACAACAGTGGAGTAAACCCTGTAATGTGAAGTCTTTTCAGCTCTCTGTTAAGCATTTTAAATGTTACTGATTGAAAAATTTGTGAATAGCTGCAGAATCATACCTTTTTATTATTTTGTGCTAATGCAAAACAGTTTAAATACTAGGTTCTTGTGGGTTTTTTCGGGCTATAGGGCCATGTTCTAGAGGCATTTCTCCTGACGTTTCGCCTGCATCTATGGCAAGCATCCTCAGAGGTAGTGAGGTCTGTTGGAATTAGGACAATGGGTTTATATATCTGTGGAATGGCTGGGGTGGGGCAAGGAGCTCTTCCCTGCTGGAGCTAGGTGTGAAAATACTTTGCAAGGTATTGAAGGACTCAATATGAAGTGACATCTTGATATGAGCTTTCTGCAAATGTTTCTTTTAGTTGAGTCTGGTGCAAGTAATTCGTACTATTACTTTACACTAAATTGTTAAGATTTCAAATTAATGGGCAAAGCCAAACATGACTATCAATATTATTTGAAAATTATTTAGAACATAACACCATCCATTTTCAGAACTGAGCTCTGGTCCTTGAAGGAGAGATAGAAAAGAAAAGCAATTACTTGCTTATGTATAATGTAGAGACATAGGATTGTAGACATTTTATTTTGTTGTATTATGTCATATCATTCAGAGAAACATACAGTCAAATCAGTTTCACCAATTTAAGCAATTACGTATTAGTAATGTACCCAGATGAAAAGCATATTAAACAACCGAGCATCCTCCTCCTCCTCCTCCTCCTCCTCCTCCTCCTCCTGCTGCTGCTGCTGCTGCTGCACTTTTTACCCATCCCCTCTGTCCTTTGGGAGAAGGGGGACTTTGCTGTGCCAAGAGAACTCTGCTTGTGTTTTCTTTAAAACCATGTTATGAATAATTTTTGATATTAGTAACTTACTTATAACAGTTTACAAGAGTTGTATTGTAAAACATTACATTTAAAATTGTTCAATTTTACAGATGCCTTTGTAAATAGCCAGGAATGGACACTGAGTCGATCTGTGCCAGAACTCAAAGTGGTAAGTAACCTCTAAGTGAGCGTATATGCTCTTAATGTTTTACTTCTGTGATAAAACATGACAATCCTTCAGATATATAATTATCCTATTCACCCTCACTCATTCAAATGGTGCTCAATAATATTGCAGATGCAGTCTTGTTGAGGAAGGCAACTGCATGCATGTATTCTGAACATGTTACAAAATTCAATGTTTTAGTCAGAATTTAGAATGACTGTAAGGTGAAAAAAATGGTAATGTCTTCTCTTGGCCCTCATTAGGCTAAATACTTCCTGTTGGGTTGCCGCCCTTGAAGTTGCAAGACGTCATGCTGCCTCTGGCTTCATAGTTCTTGAAGGTGGCACAGTACTTCAGTTATGAAACTCAATGGATTTAAAATATTTTCTGACGTTGTTGCTCATGTGCTCAGATTATTTCAGATTATGACTGGTGAAGCTACTGCAGCATCAGATTTGGTTGTATTCTTAGTTTGGATGGTTCTTTTCTATAACATTTTCCAAGGTTGACAAATGAATTTGATGAAGGAAGAAAGAAGTTTTCATCCAGAGATATTTTTTTGCCATGAGGCTGGATCTACACTGCCGCAGAAGGCAGTTTCGGAATGCAGATTAACTGCATTGAACTGGATTATATGGCAGTGTCGACTCATATAATCCAGTTCAGTGTAGTTTAACTGCATTATACGGCCGTGTAGATTCAGCCGGAGACTTCTTGCCTCTGTTTTTAAATGTCACAGTTAAATCCTATTGCTGATATTTTCATCATTTTTCGTGTTGATCATAACAATAATGTGCCTACAAGCTTATGAGTCTGCCCTGCCCACCAAGCTGAGATAGTGGACTGGATTTATGCTGTTGAAGTCCTGTGTATATTTTCTTCATTTTCCACATTGGTGTCTTTAATTGTTGTTTCGACTGCGACATAATCCGTTTTTAAAATATAATTATGTGCTTATTTCAGCTGCTTGTACAAAACTATCAAGTTTGACTATATTGTTGCTGTTTTTAGTAGCTTTGTTGCAGCTCCAATTTCTTTTGTTAATCTTGGGACTAATTGTAGGGTTGTGTTGGGCTCCAGCAGTAGATGTCTGAGGAAGCAATTTTGTCATGTCTGCACCACACCCCAAGTTGTTCCATATAAGACTGAAAGACTTCTAATTATAACTATTGCGGCTACATCTCTAACTGAAGCAGTTAATTACAAGTAGCCATCTATTCAAGGAAGGAAATGGGTTACTTTGTGTGTCTTGCAGGACCTACCTATCTGCGTGACCTCCTCCTCCCTTATGAGCCCACGCGGTCCTTAAGCTCTTCCGGGGATGCCCTTCTCTCACTCCCGCCCCCGTCTCAGGCACATTTGGTGGGGACGAGAGAGAGGGCATTCTCAGTGGTGCCCCCCCCTCTCTGGAACTCCCCCCCCCACTAGTTCATGTAGTGGTTTTCCTCCCCACTCCAAAATTAGTCTGCTGTTATTGTTGTTGCCATTTTTGTTGTTATTTTATTCTGTTTTATGTTGTTTTAATTGTATTCTGCCTGGGCTTGGGTCCCATGTAAGCTGCCCCGAGTCCCTTCGGGGAGATGGAGGCGGGGTAGAAAAATAAAGTTCTTCTTTTTCTTCTTCACTTTGGGGATATAGTTCAGATGCCAGCTTGCTGAGAATTTCAGTTTAAATATTTTTTAGCTCTATTGCTTATCAACATAGAATCATAGAATCAAAGAGTTGGAAGAGACCTCATGGGCCATCCAGTCCAACCCCCTGCCAAGAAGCAGGAATATTGCATTCAAAGCACCCCTGACAGATGGCCATCCAGCCTCTGTTTAAAAGCTTCCAAAGAAGGAGCCTCCACCACACTCTGGGGCAGAGAGTTCCACTGCTGAACGGCTCTCACAGTCAGGAAGTTCTTCCTCATGTTCAGATGGAATCTCCTCTCTTGTAGTTTGAAGCCATTGTTCCGCGTCCTAGTCTCCAGGGAAGCAGAAAACAAGCTTGCTCCCTCCTCCCTGTGGCTTTCTCTCACATATTTATACATGGCTATCATATCTCCTCTCAGCCTTCTCTTCTTCAGGCTAAACATGCCCAGCTCCTTAAGCCGCTCCTCATAGGGCTTGTTCTCCAGACCTTTGATCATTTTAGTCGCCCTCCTCTGGACACATTCCAGCTTGTCAATATCTCTCTTCAATTGTGGTGCCCAGAATTGGACACAATATTGCAGGTGTGGTCTAGCCAAGGCGGAATAGAGGGGGAACATGACTTCCCTAGATCTAGACACTATGCTCCTATTGATGCAGGACAAAATCCCATTGGCTTTTTTTGCTGCCAAATCACATTGTTGGCTCATGTTTAACTTGTTGCCCATGAGGACTCCAAGATCTTTTTCACACGTACTGCTCTCGAGCCAGGCGTCCCCCATTCTTTATCTTTGCATTTCATTTTTCCTGCCAAAATGGAGTATCTTGCATTTGTCTCTGTTGAATTTCATTTTGTTAGTCTTGGCCCATCTCTCCAATCTGTCAAGTTCGTTTTGAATCCTGCTCCTGTCCTCTGGAGTATTGGCTATCCCTCCCAATTTGGTGTCGTCTGCAAACTTGATGATCATGTAATAGAATGCATTGCTATAGGCTTTCACAGCTAGAATCAGTGAGGTATTGTGTGGTTTAGAGGCTGTATGGCCGTGTTCTGGCAGCATATTCTCGTGATGTTTCACCTGCATCTGTGGCTGGCATCTCTCTGAAGAGATGCCCATTTCTTTACCACTGGGCACTGAGGGCACCCTCACTGTTCAAATCATTCTGGGTCCAGTCTGCCATATGCTATATCTGATTGCCCCCCCCCTCCCGATAATGGGTTAGTGTAACTCTGCCCTGTGTCACCTCATTCCAAAACAGATTCTCTTATCTTTATCTTTTGTCTCCTTCTGAAATCTTGCTGCTTCTATTTCATCCTTCAAATCCTAGCCTACAATCATGTCATCCATCAAAGTAACATCCAAACAATCTTTCTTGAAATACCTTCCCAGCAATTTCCCTTCTTCCCTAACCAAATTGCTGCACTGAATGGCTGCACCTTCTTCTGTTTAGCAAAGTTTTGTTATATAAAGAGTTAACTCCTTCCATGGATTGCCTCTGCCTGGCTCCTCAGTAACATTGTTGTTGGGACACAATCAGCTGTTTGGCTTCTTTTATTTCAATTCAGTCAAAACATTCTCCACTTTCTCATAACATGTCAGCCTGTTTATTTTTCTGCCTTTTCAAATTAGACTTTAATTGCAAAGCATATACAAAAACAATCAATCTTCCAGTTTTACAAAGTGACCCTCATAATTTCAGACTTGTATATATTTTTCCATTCAGAAGTTTTAGTCTGTTGTTTTAAAAGGCTTTTTGCTTTCAATCCATTGCCTTAGTTAAAAACAATCCAGACATTTCTCTTATTAAACCAAAAGGAAGGAAACTCACTGAAGCATTGAGTAGCCACTGGCTTAAAGATTTCTTTTCGCTCTTAAATCCAAATAACTATGTCGGTAGAATAATAAATGAAAAAGAGAATAAGAGTCATTAATGGGACTTCAATTATTGTTCCATGGCCTCCACAGAGCAGCAGTTGGCATTAGTTTGGAATGAAGTTCTGATTCCTTTACTCCCCAGATAAAGGGGATTGAAGTGTGTGCCTACATGGGCCTGTAAATTTCATTTAATTTCATGGGGCAACTAGAACTCTTTTTCATTCTTTTTCATAGACGCAATCAGAAATTGGAGCTTTTATTATTTCTTTTATCATTCATTTTTATTCACCCTAGGTGAATGAGACGGTTGTTTGAGGAACAGACGATAAATAATAATAATAATAATAATAATAATAAACTTGTATTTATACCCTGCTACCATCTCCCACAGGACTCGGTGCGGCTTACAAGAGGCCAAGCCCAAATACATCAGAAACAAAAAACACAATAACAACAACAATACAACAATAAATAACTCATAACAAAGCAAAATAATAACAAAAATCACGATGCATTTAAAAACCTGTGGCAGGGCCAAATGTAATGGTTAATTTTTTTAAAAAAATGCTGGGCATGTCCAGGTGAAATAGGATGGATATTTTAGGGATAAGTGGGTGTGCAGGCAATTCTAATTCTCTCGTAAAGTGCATTTGGGACAAGTTGCTTGGGATACCTTAATCTGGGAAGGCACACTGGAACATCCATGTTTCCAAGCTCCTTCTAAAGACTGCCAATGTTGGGGCATGCCTGATGTCCTTGGGGAGGGAGTTCCAGAGTTGTGGGGCCACCACCGAGAAGGCCCTGTCCCTCGTTCCCACCAATCGCGCTTGCGATGCAGGTGGGATCGTGAGCAGGGCCTCTCCAGATGAACGAAGAGATAGTGTGGGTTCATATACGGAAATGCGGTCACGCAGGTAGGAGGGTCCCAAACCATTTAGGGCTTTGTAGGTAAGCACCTGCACCTTGAATTGGGACTGGAAAATGAATGGCAGCCGATGGAGATCCTTAAACAGGAGAGTTGACCTTCCCTGTAAGGAGCACCAGTTAACAACCTGGCCACCGCCTGTTGAACCAACTGAAATTTCCGGGCCATTTTCAAGGGCAGTCCCACGTAGAGTGCATTACAGTAGTCCAATCTGGAGGTGACTAAGGCATGGACCACCCTGGCCAGATCCACCTTCACGAGGCGGCCACAGTTGGCACACAAGTCTCAATTGTACAAAGGCCCTCCCGTCCACCGCCGACGCCTGAGCTTCAAGCGTAAGTGAAGAGTCAAGAAGGGAACCCAAATTGCGGACCTGTGACTTCAGGGTGAGTGTAACCCCGTCCAGCACCGGTTGCCACCCTATACCTCGATCTGGTTTACGATCGACCAGGAGGACCTCTGTCTTGTCAGGATTAATCTTCAGCTTGTTCCTCCTCATCCAGCCAGCCACAGCAGCCAGGCACTCGTCCAGCACCCGAGGGGCTTCCTTGGAGTTTGGTGGAAAAGAGTAGTAGAGTTGTGTAGAGATGGCACCCAACTCCAAAACTCCAGATGACCTCTCCCAGCGGTTTCATGTAGATGTTGAAAAGCATTGGAGACAGAATGGAACCTTGCGGGACCCCACAGGTCAAAGGCCAGGGGTCCAAGCAGGAGTCTCCCAGCTTCACCATCTGGGAACGGCCCTCCAGAAAGGACTGGAGCCACAACAGAACCGTGCCTCCAAGACCCATCCCGGAGAATCGTCCCAGAAGGATACCATGATCGATGGTATYGAAAGCCGCTGAAATATCCAAGAGAACCAGCAGGGTCACACTCCCCCTGTCCAGCTCCCTGCAGAGGTCATCCACCAAGGCGACCAAAGACTTCTCGGTGCCTTGGCCAGTCCTGAAGCCAGATTGTGATTGTTCCAGCTAGTTGATTTCATCCAGAAAGCTCTGGAGCTGAAAGGCGACCACCCGCTCTAGCACCTTGCCCAAAAAAGGAAGGTTGGARATTGTAGTTGCTCAGCACCATGGAGTCAGGGGAAGTCTTTTTCAGGAGTGGTCGAACCACAGCCTGTTTTAATCGGAATGGAAAACCCTMCTGCTCCAACGATGCATTAATAATCAACACAAACCAATCAATCAACCCATCCCTGGCCGATTTAATTAGCCAAGACGGGCAAGGGTCCAGGGCCGACGTGGTTGCCCTCACAGCACCGAGGACCTTCTCAGATTAAAGTCTGATTAAAGTCAGATACACTATTACACAACAGATAGACCATAGTTTGTTCATGGAGTATCTTGTAACAAAATGAAGTTCAACAGTGACAAATGCAAGGTACTCCACTTAGGCAGAAAAAACGAAATGCAAAGATATAGAATGGGGGACAATGCCTGGCTCGAGAGCAGTACGTGTGAAAAAGATCTTGGAGTCCTCGTGGATAGCAAGTTAAACATGAGCCAACAATGTGATGTGGTGGCAAAAAAGCCAATGGGATTTTGGCCTGCATTAATAGGGTCATAGTGTCTAGATCCAGGGAAGTAATGCTACCCCTCTATTCCGCCTTGGTTTGACCACACCTGGAATATTGTGTCCAATATTCAAGAGAGATATTGGCAAGCTGGAATGTGCCCAGAGGAGGGCGACTGAAATGATCATGGGTCTGGAGAACAAGCCCTATGAGGAGCGGCTTAAGGAGCTGGGCATGTTTAGCCTGAAGAAGAGAAGGCTGAGAGGAGATATGATAGCCGTGTATAAATATGTGAGAGGAAGTCACAGGGAAAAGGGAGCAAGCTTGTTTTCTGCTTCCCTGGCGACTAGGACACGGAACAATGGCTTCAAACTACAAGAGAAGAGATTCCATCTGAACACAAGTAAGAACTTCCTGACTGTGAGAGCCATTCAGCAGTGGAACTCTCTGCCCTGAAGTGTGGTGGAGGCTCCTTCTTTGGAAGCTTTTAAACCGAGGCTGGATGGCCATCTGTCAGGGGTGCTTTGAATGCAATATTCCTGCTTTTTGGCAGGGGGTTGGACTGCATGGCCCATGAGGTCTCTTCCAACTCTTTGATTCTATGATTCTGTGGAGGCATAGTTTGGTCATAGATGTCCCCTAATGCAATGCTGCCCAAACTGTGCTCTTCTAGCCTTCATGGCTTATGTCTTAGAAAGAGAAGCTGGCAGCTGTGATGGAGCTCTTCTAGGCTAAACCTTTTGGATCTTTGGGAAATTCTCAGGTAAGAGATCTAGTGTAGAGTGGAGAAAAGATGTGTTTAACATGCCAAATAAAAATGCCCATTATGCATTTTCCAAGGCTGATTGTGGAATAGAATACATCATACCTTGCAAACCTTCAGCTTTTTGAGGCTTGTGGGGTGTCTTGTTCAGATATTTCAGTGCAGAACTATACTTCAGTATGTTTAAAAATACATGACTAAATGCATGTTCTTAAATTGCACATGACCACAAATAAGGTTAGAAAAACACATTAATTATATTAATGTGTCTATTTGATAAACGTACAGCAATTGCACACCTATTTATGGGTTTGGGAAAGTGAGGAATCTCACAACCTAATACGTAAATTGAACAAGAATGTGACTCCAAGAAGTCTGTATTAAAATGAATAGATTTAATTTTGTCTAAATTGTAGATGTATGTTGATGGCATTCAAATTAGTAACTGTGAATTTAATTTGGCACCTGTCTATCCATTTGATTCTAGTCTTGTTTACCTTACTTTTGTGGGGTTAATTTGGTTTAAGAATGTGTGGGCTTAGTTTAGCATTAGAAGTAATGCACATGCCCTTGGATGTTCTCATTCATTTTTGTTTGAAGATTCATCTTGAGCTGTACACTTAGTTGTAAGAATTATGAATTAAACCCTGGGTTTTAAAATAAATATGTATTTTTTCTCTCCACAGGGAATTGTAGGAAATTTAGCTAGTGGGAAATCTGCTCTTGTACATCGATATCTGACTGGGACATATGTCCAAGAGGAATCACCAGAAGGTAAAACAACCAATAGGCTACTCCAAGCATGCTATTCCTAGACTTCAGCTGTTATTATGATTATAATTTGTATGCGTATCCAGCCTTTCTCCCAAAATTGGGACTGAAAAGTGGTTATGCAACGATAACATACAATTACAGAGAAGATCATATTAGTCAAGAATGTGCATGAAAAAATGCACTAAATGTTTATCTGCACGTTTTCTTAAAGATGACAAATTAACATTATGCTGCCTTTTTCATAGAGTGTTTTTTTCCTTATAGAAGTCTGAAAGGTAGTAGCAGTATATCGTATTTTTTCTCTCTATCCCCTTAATAAAAAATCTGTCATTTGGGACTTGTAGAGGTGGAAAAAAAGTCACGCGGGAAGTGTCCCTAATGTGACCACAGAATTTGTCAACTTCTCAGCTGGAGCAAACTACAACTAAATATTGCAGGTGATAGGTTCTATGGTGTCTGTATATTAGGTCCTTGATGTCTCATGGCATAGTGGAATATACTTTGCATGTGACTTGCTCCGTTTTATTATTAATCTTACATTTAATATTCTAGAACTTTTACAATTAAGACATAGAAATAAGGGAGGTGTAATTGATACATTTGGTAAGCTTGTGTGGTCAAATTCAGATGAATACAATATAGACTTGAAAATGAAATCCTAGTAAAATCTAATTAAGGTAACATTCACAGAAATTAATATCCTGATTATTTTTATTTGTTCTCCTTATGAACTTTTAAATCCAACTGAGACACTGAATTTCTGGTTCCTTCTTTTCCTTACTGGCTGTTCCATTCTTTGCAGATATGGATGCAGGTAACTATATGTCCTCTTCATAGCAGCACTTGTTTTGAAGAGAGGAAGCAAAGCTTTTGTACTAGTTTCCCCTTGTTTTGTGTACCATTTTTGTTTCTTTTTTACGTTAAGAACACATCTCACTGTTGTCACATGCTGTAGATGTCTCTTAGCAGTAGTCGTATGTAGTTTCATGTGTCTGTAACAACATCTGTTCTAAATTAACTCTTCTTAGGGTGTTCTCTAACTTTGTGTGCTAACAGTAGTTATGAAGGGAGCCAGAAATGGCATTTGGCTTTTATTCAGGGCTCATATGGCTGTCCTTCCTTTTTTACTGTCATAGACGACTCCCCCAAATTTTGCTCCAGTTTCTGTCAGTACACATTGTTAATAGGATGGGATGGGATGAGATAATGTCTTCATTATAGTCACTACTGATGAATACTTTCCATTTGGAAAACATGACAGTGTTATTTCTTTTATTTCTTGTGAAATGTTCAACTGTGTTTAGCTAAAAGTAATAAAATAGAGTATTGAAAATAGAGTAACAGTGGATATATAGAGAAGAGGGGTCATAGAAGAAACAAGGCCACATATGATGTTCTGACAGTTTAAATACATTAGATTCTAAAATGGATCTAATATGAAGAGTTCTGTGTAGAGAAGAATGTAGCATCTTCCACTTTTCAATGTGTATCCTCAGCCCCATTTCTGCATTGTAGACCTGTGTTGACAATAAAATGGTGAAATTTGGAGGCTCTTAAAGGAAGCGTGACCTCCATTAACAATTGCAAAATAGATACTACTGTTCAGATACAGATAACTCTGAATAATTATTTCTTGTCAGATTGATTCAAGGACAGATCAGGATATGTGCAGTCACATGGTTTTACCTTTTGAAGTGAAAGTCCCAAGTGATATGTGCATTGAATTAGGGAAGTGCATTGATGTGTGAACTGTAGATTTGTGGGTGGGGAATACACCATTATTCATGCAAAGCTTTTGGGAAATACGAGCAGGAGAAAACAGGAATTAAACTGATAGTTCTAAAGCCACCACAGTAAATGCAGTCCCTGAGTTACAATCATCCGTCTTACATACGACTCCTAGTAACAAATTGAGGTGAGACAATCTACCCCCTAGAAAGGGAAATTCACCTCTGCAAGCATTATCATGGGAAAAAGATATCTCCACTGAAGTTTTATTACCAATCCTTGTTCCCGCAACAAGCCAAAAATTTCAAAATCCAATTCTCACAGGGACAAAAAGTGAGGTGAAATCTTCAGAAGAGGGTTACAGACAGCAAAACAAACACCACAGGGTGTTAACTCTTTCCTATGCTATCCAAATATATATATATGGCAGGAGTTATACTTTTAAAAGTACCTCTTCTGACTTACATCCAAATTCAACTTAGGAACAAACCTATAGAACCTATCTTGTTCGTAACCCAGCAGTTGTCTGTACATACTTTTCCTGTCCTTTAGAAGACAATTGAAGACTTGGCTTTGGGACCAGGCGTTCAATTAGTGGACAGCGGCAATAGGAAAGAAAAATTAGGATATCTGCGACATTGGATTTACCCTGACTTGGATTTGGTTTTAATTGGCATGTTTAATTTATTGTTTAATTAATTGTATAATGTGTTTCTAATTGTTGTTAGTTTTAAATGTAATTTTTAATTGTTTATATGCTGATGGCATCATATGATGCTTGTGTAGGCCGCCCCGAGTCCCTCTTCAGGGGGAGAAGGGTGGGGTAGAAATGCATGAAATAAATACATAAACAAATAAATAAATAAATGCTGTATTTATTCACCAAACTGAGTCAAGTATAGAGGCCCCTCAAGTTCCCTTTTGCAATAGATACTCCACTCTCAAAAAAAAAAATACTGCTATGTAAAATCATAGGACTAGTATGCTAATAAAAAGTGGTGTTCATATGAGTAAACTCAACAGTTCCTATTATAAAGAGAAAATTTGAACAGATGTTGTGGAGCACTGTGGGCGGAGTTATAAATGAGTCAGCCATGCTGCAAAGTCTATATTGACATTGGTTGGATATAGGTCCCCATTTCCATAAGATACTTTAGCATGTTGTATTATGAATGTGTGATGGACAAAGCTGGTGTTTGGTTGCTCCTTGGTTCAGCTGAACACAGACCTGGTGATGCTTTAGAGGGGCCTGAAGAGAAGAGCAGTTTGGTAGCTAGATGGACAAAGGTAATTTCATGACAGCTATAAAAAAGGACAACTATACCCCATTCTTCTGTTACACTTGTAATAGGGGGAAATAGCCTAATGCCATTTAGATTTAAACAGAAGCATTTCAAATAAAATCTGCATTGTTTAGTGTATAGCCCCTGTCTGATAGTAGGGGATTTGTTGGATCTCAGCTGTGCATACTTCTCTCTTTTCATTATCACCATATTTCTCTGAGGATAACCTGGAATAGGCCTTGGAGAAGGGTTGCCCCAAACATAAGAAAATTAATTGGGGAAATATGTGCTATCACAATCTGTCTGTTTCTTTATGAATCTAAAAACAGGGCTGAACTCCAGAGTGGAAACTTACATTTATTAGCAATCTTGTCATATTTTTTCTCATTTTCTTCAGTGACTTGATTCCCCTCTCTTTCCTTCAGCTGTCTCCAGTTTAAAGTATTCCTATGCTGCTCCCTGGTGTAGTGTAGCCTGCATAACAGTAACATTTCATTGTATGCAGTAGGTGGTTTAAGTCCTTTCATTTGTCTTGCAGACTTCTCAAGCAATATCTCTATTCCAAAAAATTACTTTCTTTCATGTTGGATTATTTATTTATTTCATTTATATACCGCTTTTCTCAGCCCTTAGGCGACTCAAAGCAGTTAACAACAGTAATTTCAATACGCATTTAAAAACAATAACATAACAATAATTAAACATCAATATGACAAATCATTCACATCTCATCAATAGAATCAGAATCCAGTCTCATCATCCGTTATTCCGTATTCCTATAGTCAATTACACTGCCTAATTGAATGCCTGTTCAAACAACCAGGTCTTCACTTTCCTCCAAAATGCCAATAAGGAGGGGGCCGATCTGGTATCTGTAGGAAGGGCATTCCACAGCCAAGGGGCCACCACTGAGAAGGCCCTGTCTCTCATCCCCGCCAGGCGTGGATAATAAACTGACATAGATATTTCACCTCTTGCCTCTTCTTTACATTAGCCCACATCGTTAAGTCCAATCACACGGTATTGGCCTGCATAGATATCACAGTCCAACAAAAAAAATTCTTGGTGTCTTGGTTTTTTGGCCTGTTCCTGGAGTTATTTGGGGCGTCGATTCAGAAAATTGCATTGGATAGACTCCATCAACTCTATTTTTTTGGATATGGTTATCATGACTTTAGAAAGCAGCTGAAGGCTAGTTTATGACATATGTTCTGTATCTTAAAAACTAAAGCAGATAGGGGGGAAGGGGAACTGGTGTTATTTTTGGGACCAGCAGGTGAAATATACCCAGAAATAGGCCTAACATTTGAGGCACTAAAATCTGTGTCGGCCGGCATATTAGTTCTGTGTAGAAATAAATGTGTATTCTGGCAGAGCAGTATTGTCTAAAAACCAAGGGTTTGATGGTATTAATTGCAAATATATTCACAATATGTTGCATACCTTTTGCTTTATGTGACTTTCCCCCCAGTCTGGAGACCATGAAAAGTGGGTGGTATGATTAAGGGGAGTTTTGAAAATACAGTATCAAAATGATTAAATGTAATAGGACTGAGAGAGCAAGACAGATAATTCTGTGTGCTTTTAAAAGCCTCTGTTTCTTTAAGCTTTTTTATATGCATTTGAAAAAAAAAAGAAAATTAATTGTATTTGCTGATTGAATTTTTTTCAGAATAAAGGCCTATTTGTATTCTTCCAGATATTTCAGATGTAAAGAAAATTAAGAGTAAAATCTGATGAGGGATTGCAGTAATTACGGAAAAACTGTTTGGTGTAGCAATGTATATACCATTTCCCCCCTAATTCTCTCTGTCCACCAATTATACTTTCCCCCAATTTCAGTTTATAAACTGTTTTGAAAGGCAGACAGTACATCATGCACTGCAGTAATTTAATCTTGCACAAGAACATAGTCAAGCTTTCTGTCCAAATAGGATAGTAGCTGGTACATGAGTCTGAACTGGTAAAACACTCACTGCCAAAGAGGCCATGCCTTATTCTAATGATACAGTGAGATTGAGGAAGAACTCCAGGCTTCTTCCTGGGGTCCTCACACTTTTAAGCCACGGGCCGGTTCACAATCCCTCAGACTTTTGGGAGGGGGTGGTGGTCTATAGTTTTTTTTAAATGAACAAATCCCTAGACACACTGCACATATCTTATTTGTAATGCAAAAAAAAAAAAAAACCCAATGAAGAACAATATAGTATTTAAAATGAAGAACAATTTTAACCAACATAAACATAGCAGTGTTTCAATGGAAAATGTGGGCCTGTTTTTGGCTGATGAGATAATCAAGTTAATTAGGATTGTTGTTGTGTGCTTTCAGACTTTTGACTTGTTCCTCAGTCTAAAGTTTACTGCAGGGGTTGGGTAAATGACTTTGGAGGGCCATATCCAGCCCATTAGCCTTAGTTTGGGAATCCCATTTTAAATCACTGGATATTTAACAAGACAAGATGGAAATCTGCAAGTTCTTATAGCAGTACTGCTTTAAAATTGAGTGCCATATTAACTCCAGAAGTGCATGTTCTGAAATCTACGGTTCATGAGGAAAAATGACACAATAGCATAATTATCATGGCCTTAAATAACAAATAAATTACCATTTGAGACATAACTAAATATGTGAATGTCATAAAAACAGATTGCTACATCTGAAGATTAATATATAGATTTTTTGTTGTGTCAGCAATATATGCATGCAGCCAACTAAAATACTGTCTGTTTGTATTTTAAAATAGTATAAGAATCAGCGACCTAATTCTGAAAGAAAATAAGACCCACATTCATATAATATTAA